TGGAATTAAGAGTTTTGGTATAGATGGAATTAAAGTAGAATTATTGGACCTAAAGTTTAGTTAGAGATTTTGGATGATTCTTACCGGCGCAAAATAAAAATTACATTCATTTGGGACGCTTTTGGAACATATCAATTTTGGTTTTGTGTGATGATTTCTATATGTAGAAAATAATAATGTATATGTATGTATATTTATAGAATGGATACTAAGATTTTAAGAAATGATTTATTACACAAATTTAAGATAAAAATTTTACATGATCGTAAAATTTCATTTTTTCCTTCAATTTTGACACCTTGTATCTTTAAAACTAAGTCGTTTCAAATATATTTACTTATATGAAATTTTCATCTTGAATGTGTGAGGAAGTTCATTCCTTTTGGGGTGCTTAACATCCACTCTGTATATATACATAAAATTCTTGTAAAATTAAGAGAAAATATTACAATGACGTGTAGAATGGTTGACCGAATATAAATGTAATTAAATTAATATAAAACAAGAGAGGATTCCACATACACATATACGTTCAAATTTTAAAACTATTTTTCATAACATTAATCATTTAGAACTATAAGTAGCAGATTTACTATTTAATTTTATTTTTAATTAATTCTAAACTTTTTAATTAATTTTACATTTAATTTTTATTAACTCATTAATTTTTCTTACATAAAAAAGACATTAGATGAAATAATTTCATTACAAGTATAGAAAATTTTCTTCTTCCTTATTGATGATGCGAGATCAAATAGCAGAACTGGCGCGGAAAAAAAAGAAGTAAAATAAGCAAGTGCATCCAGTGGGAACAAGGTCGGAACTCTCTGACCTCTTCGCAGGACGGTTCTGGCTAATGTCAAGATAAATGTGATTTCCTGGGATGAGAAACGCGGAGCAAGGGTAACGCGGAAGCACCGGGAGCGCAAGAAGAAAAATATTGTTTGCTGCGAAAACTGGGGCGTACATCCTGAAGAAGGGCGTTGGTAGTAGTTTGACCACGAAGGCGTCACACGGGGGTTGAGGTGGAAAAGACCAAAAGCTCGTCGGCTCTCGTGCCGGAGTAGCTTGCCAAAATAAGATTCGTTTTTAGAGCGGAATTAAGGGGAGGAAGCTTTTAGAATAGGGTTACTTAAATCGGGTCACATAAATCCTTGCATGATTCTCTTGCGTGACTCAAAAATGTGGCGAGGTCGATAATACGATCGTATGATGCTCGCCTTTTGATGCATTTTCAACGGAAAATGTTATTATTTATTCAAAGATATTTCAAAATATGTTGTCTTCTTTTTCTTTCATTGAAAATATTACTGTGCATTTACTTATTTGTTGTATTTCTACAAATTGTAAAGTAAATTTTGGAATATTTGATAAGAATTTTTAAAGGATTCTGAACAAACACGTCTTCCATTAGTGCAATTTCCTTTAAAACTTTATATAATTCTAGAAGAAAAAATTGATATTCTTGAGAGTGATTCATGCTTATTTACGCGAAATTGAAAGCCGAAAGTATGAAACATTTATTATTGCGCAATCTTCAAACTTTTTATATTTTTAACAGTCATTAAACTTTTCCGTCGCAATAGTTATACCGGGCGCAAATTTAAAAAAGTATTATCTGATTGTTATCATTTCGCGATGTTTGCCGCCGGACAATTATTCTCGAGATATTCGTGATCACTCGTTTATTAAACACTATTCTCCCCTTGAATACACGACGATTCTCTGAATTCCATTTATTCGAAGGACCGCTAGCTCGTGTTTGCATTCTACTAGGTATTATTGAGCTTTCGCGACTATTTTCTAGGATTGCTAGATCGGTGAATAGAGCCAGCGTTGCCATCGCGATCGCTCAATGTCTATTGCATAGCTTTAGGCCAACGAGAACGACCTCAGAAGCTCGTTATCGTGAATGAATTCAATGCATCGCAGACGACAGCGAGCGACAGCGAATTCAACCAACGCCGGCTTAGCCGCGTTTGGACCATCCATCTTGCTTCGGACAGTCGTCCTCCCGGTAATGCTGAAGATACCGATCCAAGGAAGAACCAATGCGGATTCTATCGGCGGAAGTTACGCGTCTTTCCGTGGATATCGGCTAGTTTACGGTCGTTTCTTCAACTAACAATGCAATCATTGTAGATGGTCACATCGATTTGTTCGAAGGGGGATAAAATACGAGTATGATAAAAATCTCTTATTTATCTATATTTATACTTTAATCAATAACATATTGCCATTAACGGTCAACCTTAGGTGCTAATTATAATTCCGTGTGAATTTATATATTACGTATGTAGTCTTTTAAACTTCAAGCAATTTCTTATTGGTTGTGTTTCTCACATGTACGGTCCTATAAGATTTAATATTTAAATTTTGTTATTTTTTTTTTATATTTTATTATTTTTTATCACATTTCTGGCTAAAATATGATAGAAAATAAAACAAAAATTTATTACACAATAAACAAAGAGAATCATTCGATCAAGGCGGATTTTAGTGCTTAATAATATTTTTGCATGAATGTTACAATTTCCATTTTATGCAAACTGTGTACTAATTATATTTATCAGACTTAAAATACTCCCTAAAGCTAGAGTATGTAACATTCACAAATTAAATAGACAAATAATTTGATGGTACCAATACTAATATGAATACCTCAAAATACTATGAAGAATTAAAAAGTTAATTTAATTGATATGATTTATACGATAAATTACCGCATCATGGAAGTACTGAGAAAAAGAAAGCAATAGGTATGTTTCTCTGTAGAATTATATAGCGTAGAATTATATCAACGTATTATATAGAACTGATAATTAATTAGATAGATAAAGAAGATTTAATTATTTTAATAAGCATTTTGTAGATGCTTTCAGGTTTCTAAAGTTATATTATTTTCTTAAGGTAAACACTAATTATTAAAATAACATAACTGTTATAATTTTTCAATCAACAACTGTAATATATACAATAATATATGATATTTATATAATATATACAACAGTTATATTGTTGAATAAGAAATTATAACTATTTATGTTACTATTAGTATTTGCTGGATTCTTTATGTGGAAAAAGTTTTTCATGCAAATATTATGTACTTGTAATAAACATTAATATTTTATGATTAATCAATGATGTTTTTAATTATAATATGAAATGTGTTTGTCAAAAATGTTATTTTATAATTGATACTTCTCATTTTTATTTTGAGATAAATAATTCATTATATATTTAATGTAAAAGATGATTTTTATTAGTTGCAATAATTACTTTTATTTATCTATATAATATTATGACATATATTATCTATTATTATTCTTTATATCTACAGTCCATTTGAATCGGCAGTATTTCGCCTGAATCTCAAACGTTAGGAGTAGGTACTTTCACATTATTTCCTTTCTCGTACCGTTTTTGGGTTTAGTTTCTGTGACCTCGAAACGAATGTAGCTATTTGGCGTCTCCGCTTTAAGAGATATATCAGTGGCAGGATTAGTCGATTTTTCTTAGTGCCAACTATCCTCGAATTCGTGTTCATTCGTTACGAGATGCCTTCTATGAGAATCTTCCATGTTTCAACAAATTTCAACAGATTTAGAAACTAGTTTACGAATTGCTGCCCTTTTGCGAGACTGCACTTGGGAATCTTACGTAAACTCTTGCAAAGTTGTCCGGTATATCTGCTCGCAAGGTTGATAATTTCATTGCGTAATTTACCGGAGGACACAAACTTGATGCGAACAGCGAGTCGCATAAAACATAAAGTTTCGAACGTGCTCGCTAAAGATCATTCTATATTACCTTCTTCAGTAACCACACGTACACAGCAGCGGCAGTGTTGTCATAAACACGAATTCACTTTCAAAATTGTAATTTTATTATATTGTTATGGTTGTTACTTAATATAAAATTGTTACTTAAAATAAAGTCCAAATTGTGTATCAGTCAAATATTCTTTCAAATCTAAAAGACAGCCAATAATTTAAAAATCATATCATAAAAATAAAAAGGTCAAGCCATGTTCGAAAAAAGATAGTCAAAAATTTAAACCTTTTTATCTAATAATAATATATCAGTTACTTTCCATGGTAATATATTATTAAAAAGGTTTAAATTTTTTAGTATCCTTTTTTGAACATGGCTTAAACTTTTTATTTTTATGATATGATTTTTTCCGGATATCACTTACTTTTTAGAGTACAAATATATCACAAATATATAAAAAAATGATTTAAAAATATTATATAACAAAAAGAGAGTGATATACGAAAAAGAGAGGTGATGGGGGGGGG